ATATAATGAAGCGGTGGTGGCTGGATCCAATTTCAATAGAATGGTGACTTTGTTGAACCTTATCGCTGAAATAAATCAATAATCTTGGATAGTTTCTTTAAAGTTTGGACTCAAAGCTGGAGCAGATTCTCGGCCCTGCTGACATAAAAGTTATCAGTCTCCACTAATCCAGTGTCATTTTTAAAATATGTTTGTATGGGTGTTCTTTTCACACCTTTCCAAGTACACTTGCCAACTGAGTAAATGAAATAATAAAAAATAGCTCTCCCAAAAACATATGAAAATATTCCTTTGATATTTAAATGTTGAATATTATTTGTTTCGTCTACTGCTAAATTACCACTGAGCATAATGGCAGAATTAGAACAAATGGATTTTAAAAAAGCACTTTGATGTGTAATATAATGAATATTTGTAGACATATTTGCATACAAAAAGAACTACAGTATTTCTTTTTTCATAAGACAGGTCCACATTTTCTTAAGCCTCCTCTATCAGTCCAAGTACTATGTTTTGGTTCCAGGCTTACACATGCTCAGAATATTTCCTTTGAAATAAGTGACACTTAAGTCAATAATTACTATCAACCATTTTCCTATTAATTGGAGGGGGGTTCTGTGAATTGTCCTCTTGATTTTTATGGTTGTGCTTTAAGTCTGGATCTAAGTCTGCCCATAGCAGCCAGAAAAATATCTCTAGAACATATGTCCTAGATATTGTGGGTTTATGTTCTTTGATTTGTCTTTATGACATTGCTTCATCTCAGCCAGGGTGGATACTCCGAAATGAATGGACATGGTTTATTTCATGTAGTGTTGGCACTGTACACAATACAAACAATCCTGGATTACAGTTGAAGGATTCCCACTTAATCTGATTTGCATTCTAGAGGGAATGGCGGTATGAGTTGGACACAAATCACACCATGATCATTTGTCAAAACTACTAAGCAGTTTAAAATAATGCAATAGTTGGAGTCAGCAGTAGGATAGTCAACAGCAAAAGCTGCTATTTGTATCTGGTCAACGTTATGAGAGGTCAACCAAGTATAACAAATATAGATGAAACAAACATAAAGTCCCCCACAATATTCTGGCAAACAAGCTACCGTAGTAAAATGTGGGCTAGACAATGCAACTGTTAGGTGGATCTGTAATTGGTTAAACGGACAAAACCAAAGGGTGCTCAGCAATGACTCCTCTTCATGCTGGAAAGAAGTGATCAGTGGGCTGCTACAGAATTCTGTCCATCTTTTATCAATGATTTGGATGAAATAGTAGAGGGCATGCTTATCAAATCTGCAGGTGACATCAAATTAGGAGTAGCAACTTCTACCCGAGAGGAGAGGATCAAAATTAAAAATGACCTTAATAGATTGAAAAGCTGGGCCAAAACTAACTAAATGAATTTCAACAGGGAGAAAAGTAAGGTACTGCACTTAGGGTGAAAAAGGAAATGCACAGATATAGGATGGAGGACACCTAGCAACAGTACATGTGAAAGGGATCTAGGAGTCCTAGTACACCTCAAATTGAACATGAGTCAGCAGTTTGGTGTGGCAGCTAAAAAAGCCAATGTGATTCTAGGCTGCATCAATAGATGTATAGTGTCTAGCTCAAGGGAAATAATAATGCCACTCTGGGCCTTTACAGACTGCCAGAAATAATGCAGCTTGAGGCCACATTAAT